AAGTGCAGAAACCTCAGTATCAGAAGGGGGAGGATTTATTGTCATATTGAAAAATATCCTTTTTTTTTGAAAAAAAAAATTCAAATTAAGAAAAAAATGTTCGAGAACAACGCAAGTGGATTGGTTCATTTTTTGAATATTTAATAACAAATGAAATGTATTAATTCATATTTAATAAAATATTTAATATTTAATAATAAAAAGATATGGAATAATAAATGTAATTTAATAATCGATTTTCTTGGTACCATCCAATCAATTAAATTGTTTTCAAATTTCAATAATTGAATTTTGAAGGTCAACCCAATTGTAGACAATACTATCTATATTATATATGGAGTTCCAACCTGAACTTTGTTTATGATTCTGTTTTTCTATCTCATTGGTCCTTATTTTTTATTTCCTCAGCATAGGATTTATACTGAGCATATTATTTCTTTTTACCGATTTTTCTTTTTATTGGCCAAATTCTGCCGATTTTGACATCTAGGATTTACATATGCAACATATATCACTGTCAAGGTCAAGAGTATATTTTTTATTTATTATTTAGATTCGAAAATTATATTCCAAAATTAAAAATAAAATAAAATAAGAGACTCGAAAAAAACGGTTGGGTTGCGCCATACATATGAAAGAGTATAGAATAATGATGTATTTGCCAAATCAAATATCATGGTAAAATTTAACAATGACCCATTCGGATTAATTGATAATATTAGTTGATGGATCATTTGTAAAAAGGTTTTATTAACTCTTAAGTTATGTCGAGTAGACCTTGTTGTTGCTATAATTCAATTCTTAATTCATGCGTTGTAGGGGGGATTTATGTCACCACAAACAGAAACTAAAGCAAAGGTTGGGTTCAAAGCTGGTGTTAAAGATTATAAATTAACTTATTATACTCCTGACTATCAAACCAAAGATACTGATATCTTGGCAGCATTCCGAGTAACTCCTCGATCTGGAGTTCCGCCTGAAGAAGCAGGTGCAGCGGTAGCTGCAGAATCTTCCACTGGTACATGGACAACTGTGTGGACCGATGGACTTACCAGCCTTGATCGTTATAAAGGACGCTGCTACGAGATCGAGCCTGTTCCTGGAGAAGATAATCAATTTATTGCTTATGTAGCTTATCCCTTAGACCTTTTTGAAGAAGGTTCTGTTACTAACATGTTTACCTCCATTGTAGGTAATGTATTTGGGTTCAAGGCCTTACGCGCTCTACGTCTGGAAGATTTGCGAATCCCTAATGCTTATGTTAAAACTTTCCAAGGTCCTCCTCACGGAATCCAAGTTGAGAGATATAAATTGAACAAGTATGGATGTCCCCTATTGGGATGTACTATAAAACCCAAATTGGGTTTATCAGCTAAGAATTATGGTAGAGCAGTTTATGAATGTCTCCGCGGGGGACTTGATTTTACCAAAGATGATGAAAATGTGAACTCCCAACCATTTATGCATTGGAGAGACCGTTTATTATTTTGTGCCGAAGTAATTTATAAATCACAGGCCGAAACAGGGGAAATCAAAGGACATTATTTGAATGCTACTGCGGGTACATGTGAAGAAATGCTAAAAAGAGATGTAATTGCTAGAGAATTGAGCATTCCTATCGTAATGCATGACTACTTAACAGGTGGATTCACTGCAAATACTACCCTGTCTCACTATTGCCGCGATAATGGTCTACTTCTTCATATCCACCGTGCAATGCATGCAGTTATCGATAGACAAAAAAATCATGGTATGCACTTTCGTGTATTAGCTAAAGCCTTACGTTTGTCTGGTGGAGATCATATTCACGCTGGTACTGTAGTAGGTAAACTTGAAGGAGAAAGGGAGATTACTTTAGGTTTTGTGTATTTACTACGTGATGATTATATTGAAAAAGATAGAAGTCGCGGTATTTATTTCACTCAGGATTGGGTTTCTTTACCATGTGTTATCCCTGTTGCTTCAGGGGGTATTCACGTTTGGCATATGCCTGCTCTGACCGAGATATTTGGAGATGATTCTGTACTCCAATTCGGTGGAGGAACTTTAGGACACCCTTGGGGAAATGCACCTGGTGCCGTAGCGAATCGAATAGCTCTGGAAGCATGTGTACAAGCTCGGAATGAGGGACGTGATCTTGCTCGCGAGGGTAATGCAATTATCTGTCAAGCTTGCAAATGGAGTCCTGAATTAGCTGCTGCTTGTGAAGTCTGGAAGGAAATCAAATTTGAATTCCCAGCAATGGATACTTTGTAATCCAGTAATAATCATTCGTTCTATTAATTTCCATTAAACTCGGCCCAATCTTTTACTAAAAGGATTGAGCCGAATATTATACAGAATACTTGTTGTATCTATAAATGAATCCTATGGATCTTTCGGATTGATAGATTTTTTTCTAGTTCATTATTCTTTTTTGATTTGGAATATAATGAATTAAAATAGAAGTATTTTCTATTAATATTGACAACAGTGTATCAAACCAATATAATCCGATCGT